CGCTAACTTGTCCAGGCTGTTCTTGTGTCTCCGTAGGTGTTTAAGTTTTAGGGTGATCTGTTTAAAAGAGTCGTACTGGGTTCTAAGTTTGTTCACATGACGATGTGATTACTCGTAGGCTTAGGCAGTTCTCCGTTCTGAAGTTCGTATTAGAATTCATACATGGTTTCACAATCACAATCTTGTGTATACGAGTCGTATATAATTAAGATTGAAAAGGTAGTCGAATAACTGATTCTTCTTTAAGCTCACATCCTTTCGAGGAAAAAGAACTTAAAGCGGAATCATCAATTCTAAGCATGTAGAACCTTGATTATATATCACTCTTAAGTATACATTCCTCAGTGATGGATCAATCGCATGAATCCTTGGATTAAACTTGACGTACTGCGCGAGTGGTACTTTGGGGATTTCTTCGGAAAGAAAATAACTACGAGGTACTCCTGGCATGGGTACTTCGGTGTTCTGATATGACGGATTTGCCGGAAAAGTGATCTAGAAGAAAGATATGTACGTATGAAGTTGTTTTCATGAGGATCAAATTGTATCGATTCGTATGATAATGTCGAAGTCTCACTGGAACTTGAAGACATTAGATTTGAGCATAAGACGTTTACAGACAAAACACAACCGTGCAACCATCAACAGAGTTACAATAGTTTAGACTTACAACAAGACCATTGCTGTGAATAAGGTATACTACAAAAGACAAGTATACGCAGCACGAGGATCTTTATACCGACAGGATCTCGCAAAAAGTAAGACTCTAGTTGCACTAGTTCTGGATTGTTTAAAGGTCTGTTACAACAACACCCCTAAATTACATAACGAGGGGTTTCCGGAGTAGGCTCTCCCGCAGCTCTGATCCTGAGAATTCTCCCATCTGCGCTAGAGTTCTTTGCTATAGGGAAATCCTTCTTGAAGTGCCGTATCTCCCCACATTGGTGGCATGACTGGCTAGTACTAGCTTTGGTGACGGGATTTCGGTGTTTAACCAGTGTTATGTGGACATGAGTGCCTTCCTCGTTACTCCACTTTGAAAATTGTTTCTTAAATCGTTCGGTGTTATAACTTATCTTGTGTGTAGGGTTAGTCCCGATGAAAGGGACTTGAGTGATGGGTCGTGCTGGTGCTCCACAGCCACGAGCATGGTGCCCTATGTTTAGGAAATTGCAACATTGCATCTCATGGAAAGCCCCATGATGATGGAAACTACACTTATCACACTTCGGGAGTTTTCCCTCGTATGGCCTGCTCGGTATGGGAATGGCAGGGGTTTCCACTTGCTGCTGTTGTATAGCCAGCTTTTGGGATCTCTTGCGTTCTTTCCGGGATTGACGCTTTCGTTTGTCGTTCTCTGCTTTTCGGATTTGCGAGCCTGTGACTATTAATGTTTGGCGACTCCCTAGATGGATACCACGATTGGAAACTTCATTCCCATCAGCAGCATTGTCTGTGCTGATAGCGCTACGGTGCGCAAGGACCGTGGTTACGGCAGCCACCACGGCAGCTGTAACTGCTGTTTGAAAGGTAGCGGCCTTCATAGGAAAGGCGGAGGTTTCGTGTAAAGAGTACGATTATGTTCTCGAAAGTTTGACCTACATCCCTATGATGCAGTCTTAGTACCGAGTGAAGGTGTGTTTATGAAAGGTTGACCTACATCCCTATGATGCAGTCCTAGTGATGAGTGAAAGTAAGTTCGTAGAATGGTCTCAAAACGTTTGTTGTTCAAGCCTAGGTATCGTGGTTGGTGAATAACATGATCCAATCAACTAAAAGAGACTTGGAAATGTCTCCGGAGTTAAATTACTATAGTCCAATGACTTGACTAAAGCAGGTTTCAGATAGACTCCAATGAAAGTATGATATGAGTACTTGAATGAAGGATGACACATAAGTTAGCTGGCTGTCAATATCTTTGATATTCACGATGTAAAGATTTGGAGAAAAGACCTTGTAAAGGTCTTACATCATATCCACAGAGAAGGTAGTTCTTGACAACATAAAGACCTAACTAAAGTACTTACGGTACAAGATAATTTCATAGAAAATGCCACATCAGGCATAGATAGAAAAACATTCCTTTATAACAAGGAAAATAAAGTAAAACATTTATTACTGACGACGGTAATCCCTCTGGTGAACTCTTAGTTCAGCCATTTGATGTTCTACATCGAGTAGGTGTCTTTCGTAGACCCTCTGTCATACTCAGAGTTCTATGACTTCGGCTCGGGATTCAGTTAGTGCCTGTAGCGGGGTTTTCTCTCAGATCTTTCACGGGCATCTTCTAGACGAATGGTGCAGAGGGTATGCATTCTCGCATTGGTGACAACTTTAGTGATCTGATGTAGGGCTGTCCTGCCTTGAATCTCATTTCGGGCCACTCTACGGACCAGGATTGGCAAGCTTCTGTCTGCCGAGCCCCCATTGCTCAGGTCATAAAAGTTTCGATCACCATCAAATGGAATGGGCTGATCTTGTCCTTGGCTCCATGTTTCCA